GTCTTATTTCTGGTAACAAACATGTTTTTGTTTTTTCTGTTGTTTTTGTTGTGAAATCAAATTTCAAAAAACTCTTTCTCATTATTTAGAACAATTCGCCTCACTCGTTGAATCTCTCGTTTGAATTGGAACATTTATGTGTTGATTAGCTTTCATAATTAATTAATCAATCAATTCAAATTTAACTTTCTTTCCATTCAAATTCAAAAGAATCTTATTTACTATCTTTCTATTTAAATTAAAGAAATACTATCTTTCAATTTAAATTAAATACTATAATAAATATTATCCTAAATTACCAAGTGGTTTTATATTAGCTTGCCACTTGGCTTAACCACAGTGCAAACTTTCTTGCTTTAATATATATATATATAGATATAGATTTAAATTTCAAAAAAAAAAATCTTACCTTTTAGTTTAAATTAAATGTTATTATAAATGTTCTCCTAAATTGCCAAGCGGCTTTATAATAACTTGTCACTTGGCTTAATCACAATGAAAACTTTATTCTTTTAATATATACTCCATCCGTTTCATATTAAATAAGGTACTTTCCCTTTTAGTCTGTTCCAAAAGAAATGACACATTTCTAAATTTGAAAATGATTCAATTTTAAACTCTTTCATGTTACACATTTACCCTTAATGAGAAGCTTTTATAGCCACACAAATGTCATGGCCCCACAAACTTTTTACCCCTTAAGCTTTTAAAACCACAAATTTCAAAAATCTTTTTTTTTTCTTAAACTCCATGTCGCATCAAACTACCTCATATTATACAAAACGGAGGGAGTATACAGATCCTACATGAATATACCTAAGAAAGTAACTTGTAGAATATTTTATGTAGTTTAGAGTGTCTATAACTTGTTACACTGTTAGAAGTAAAATATTTATAGCCTATCTGGGATGTAACCATTTCGAATCTCATGCCCCTATGTTGTGTACGTGGCTAACAGGTGGCAAGAATCTCGCTGGTCACTATGAGGGCGTACCAAATACTCTTTTCGTGAGATACTTTCCTTTTTAGTCTGTTCTAAAACAAATGATGTATTTCTAAATTTGGAAATAGTTTAACTTTAAACTATTTTATTTTATCCATTTATCCTTAATGAGAAGCTTTTATAGTCACACAAATGTCATGGCCCCACAAACTTTTTACCCCATAGGGCATCTCCAACCTTTACCCCATTTTTGGTCCCCAAAATGGGAATTTTCCCATTTTGGGGACAACTTACTCCAACCATTCCCCCATTTTTTTTCCCAAACTTTTTTATATTCTTCTCTCTCTTCTATATTATATTATTATCTCTCATTTCAATTTCATTCCATTAAACAAATTCCATCTTTTATTTTTATTAATTTGTAATTTCCATTAAAACAATTTTATAAAATTTTAAATAATATAATTTGTAAGCAATTATTATAGATTAACTAATAATTCAAATAAAAGTGAAGTCATTGCAACATCTAATATTTTATATTCGCACCATTCATGTTTTGAGATAATTATATATTTTTTGTACAATTATAACTTATAATAAAATTAACTTACAATTTTACATAAAAATAATAAATGCACGAAAATTAATTTATCAAAATTATACACCAAAGTTAAGATGTAAAATTAATGTTATAAAAACACTACATAAACATAATTAGATATATATAAAGAGATAAATTAAAAGATTAAATAATAAAATAATAATAAAAAAGTGATGAATAGTAACAGGGGAGATGAATAGTGTACCCCATATTTGAGGGAACACTATTTATCCCCATTTTAGGGACAAAAATGGGGGAGGGTTGGAGCTAAATTATCCCAAAAAGAAATGGGAATAAGGTTGGAGATGACCTTAAGTTTTTAAGACCATAAGTTTCAAAAGTCTTCTTCTTTTTACTTANCATTTTCATTCAGCAATAAAATCATCATCATCATTCAAAACCCAATTCTCTCTCAGCTTCCGCAATTTGCTTACGACATTGGTTTTCCCTCACGGCACTGACAATCTAGTCTAGCGTGCGGTNTCAAAATTATACACCAAAGTTAAGATGTAAAATTAATGTTATAAAAACACTACATAAACATAATTAGATATATATAAAGAGATAAATTAAAAGATTAAATAATAAAATAATAATAAAAAAGTGATGAATAGTAACAGGGGAGATGAATAGTGTACCCCATATTTGAGGGAACACTATTTATCCCCATTTTAGGGACAAAAATGGGGGAGGGTTGGAGCTAAATTATCCCAAAAAGAAATGGGAATAAGGTTGGAGATGACCTTAAGTTTTTAAGACCATAAGTTTCAAAAGTCTTCTTCTTTTTACTTAAACTTCCGTGCCGAGCCAAACACCTCATTTAATATAAAATTGAGGGAGTATATGATAAGATAGTACGCTATTCAAGATTTACATATTAATAATAATTGCACGACAATTTGATTTTGACTATAGTAACACATCTTATTCTATTGGCGAACCAAGCAACCCATATCGACTAAGAAATCACTTGCCCTCCAACGTGAAGTTGGACAAAATTTTCTTTATGAAATGAAAGGCAATCCAATAAAATAAGAGAAAGTGTTTGCTAAATTAACCTTTAGCAGATTCGTCAAAAGTGATAATGGAACTCACACGCAAATACCACTAATCTCACAAGCACAAGTACTGTCATGGGCTGCTTTCCAGACATGCCCCATGACCCCTTGGCCGCGCCCCATGGCGGCCTAGCAAGCCTCACAATGCCTAGCGCCATGGTCGGCCCCGTGGTCTTGGCTGCGCCAAGCGACAAGCGCGCATGTGCCTCTGTCGCCCCACCGATGCCTCTCGCCAGCGCCCAAGGGCTGGCCAATGACAACAGCG